TGCCAAGGACCTTTTTGAGGGCTCTGATAACGTAAGCTGAACATTCATATATTATATGCCTTTTCTTTTTCTGTTTATTGTTTGTTGTTGTGCTTCTTAAAAATGTTCTTGAGCTAGGGTGTTCTGTGTCCAGTTTGATTCCTATCTTGTTAGCTTATAGAGATGCCTGCAATTTTTTCCTTCAGAATAATTTTTTTTAAATCTTGATCTGCATTTAGTGGGATTTGCTTTATTCTATTTTGTCTTGTTTTTGTGTGTAACAAATTTTGGGAGATGCTTTTTCAAAGTGTGGTGTGACTAAACTAGGAGGTGGATGAAAGGGTAGGTTTCGTTTAAGTGCCTTTTTTCTTCCTTTTTTTTCGGCTCCTTTCTTTTTTTCTTACCCCGTCTTGGATGTGGGGCATGAGCAGCTACTGATGATTTTGCTATGTAAGTTAAAACCGATTTGTATTTTTATCTTATGCCCTTTTTTTTCTAACAGGAAGAAGATCGATCCTCAGAAAGGCGAGATGAAACTGCTGGTGATTTTGATGAAGAATGTGATGAAGAAGGAAATGATTACTCAGATGCAGATGATTTTATTGTCGATGATGAGGGACGCCCTATCACTGTTAAACGCCAAAAGCGGAAACCTATTTTTACTGATGCGTAAGTATCTATTACGTATATTCCTGTGTAAACCGCTCTTTTAAGTTGTAATTTGATCTATTTTGTCTGTGCTTAATCTTTCAAGGGCTCTTCAAGAAGCACAAGACATCTTTGGAGTAGATTTTGACTATGATGAGTTTGATAAATATGACCAAGAAGAGGAAGAGGAAGAGGATGAAGATTATCAAAAAGAGGATGATCCTGGAAGGAGGTAGGATTGTTGTCACTAATACTATTATCTAATCTATATAGCTCTTTACACCAATCAACACCCTTATCTTGTGCTTATTATGATACACTTTTCCTTTGTTTTATACAGGAGGAAAGCAAAGAAATCTATATTTGAAATTTATGAACCCAGCGAACTTAAAAGAGGCTATTTTACTGATTTAGATAATCAGGTTAGTATATCACTACTACCCATTCTTGTTGGCTTTTTGTCTTTGATTAAAGTGTTTTTCATTTGTATTTCTAATCTAAAATTATTTTTATTTTGTAATTTCTCCCAGATTCGTAACACAGACATTCCTGAAAGGATGCAGTTGCGTGATACGCCAGTAACACCAGAAACTGACGATAAATTAGAAGATGAGGCTGCTTGGATCTTCAAGCAAGCCTTTTGCAAGCCTTCTATATCAACTCAGGTAAGCAACTCAAAATCATATTAGGTACTGTATTGCATCTTTTCATTTGTGTACTGTTTCTAAAAGATCTCTGGTTTGGATTCAGCATCAGCATGGCTTAAATTCTGAGAGTGAAAAGATACGAAAAGAACCCAGTGCAACAACATATAAAATTAAGAAGGCCCTTGACTTCATGCGAAATCAAAGTTTGGAAGTTCCTTTTATTGCATTTTATAGGAAAGAATATGTTTCTCCAGAGCTCACATTAAGTGATCTGTGGAAGGTTTACAAGTATGATGAAAAGGTAGGCCAAAAGTATCTTGAAACACTCAAGTTACCGTAGAACTTAATGTTTTGGTATCTAATCTAATCTTTTAATTTATCCAGTGGTGTCAGTTATCAGCACGCAAACAAACACTTATTAAACTTTTTGAAAAAATGCGTGATTATCAAGGGGAGCAGCTTACTAAAGACAGCACAGCAGACATTCCTGAAGATGTCAGAGTTTTGACAGATGATGATATTGACCGGTAATCAGATGTCTGATTTTTCTAAAAATACTTTGCATTTTTTATAATGTTTTAATTGGAATTGTTTCATTTCAACAGAGTGCGAGCTGTACAGACTCAAGAGGATTTTCGAGATGTCTCCTTACATTTTCAACTCTATTATTCACACGAGGTTCCAGCTATGCAAGCAGCTTGCAAAGCTATAGAGAAACTAGAGCGACAGCAAAGGAAAGAAGCACAGCGTAATCGACGCGAAAGAAGGAAGAAAAAGAAAACTATTGTTAATGATGATGGTGAAGAAGAGGAGGTGACTGATGACGATGTAGAGGACGATGATGACCTTGATGATGAGGAAGATGATATGGAGGAGGATGAACCTCAGGAACAAGTGAAGCAGGCTGTTAGGTCTGGACCATACAGTATGTGTCGTAAAGCACGATTAGCAGGATTTGCCAAACGGTTTGGCCTCTCTCCTGAACAGTTTGCTGAGAACTTGAGAGACAATTACCAACGACATGAGGTAGAACAAGAATCTGTTGAACCTCTTGTGTTAGCTAAAGAATATCTTTCTGCGTAAGTGTTGAAGCTAAATTTCAATGTTCCATATTTCTTTTTTAATTTCCTCATTAACTTAGTTTTTACTTGTGTCATTTTTGCAGACAATTTCCTAATTCTGAGGAGGTTTTGAAGGCTGTTAAGTATATGGTTGCTGCACAGTTGTCTAGGGAGCCATTAGTGCGGAAATGTGTTAGGGAGGCCCTTTTTGAGCGATCCAAAATTGATGTAATTCCTACAAAGAAAGGAATAAAAGAAATTGATGAAAACCACCCTATTTATGGACTGAAATATCTGAAAGGGAAACCTGTTCGTGACTTATCTGATGAACAGTTCTTAAAGCTTATAATGGCTGAGGAAGAAAAGAACATAACTATCTCTTTTTCTGACCAAATAGAAGGCTTGACGACTGCTTCATTTATTGAAGAAGCCAAACAACTGTACCTTAGGGTATGGCAATTTTGTTTATTCAATATGAAACTACAATATCTGTTTTGCTGTACTAAATTTTGATGCTTTCTTAAATTCTAGGATGAATTCATTAAACATGTCCAAGAATGGAATACAATTCGAGTAGAATGTGTTGATCTTGCTCTCCGTAAAATGTTAATTCCGGAAATTAGAAAAGAACTTAAGAGTGTATTACTGAACGAGGCAAAGGATTGTGTTCTGCGTGCATGTTGCCGACGTTTGTACAACTGGATAAAGGTGAGGCTGAACATACATTTTTCTCAGTGGTTATTTTATTCAGTTAAGCTTATATTCTAATATTTGGCCCAAAAACTTTCCTTAGATTGCACCATACAACGTAGACTTTCCAGATGAGGATGAAGATGAGTGGGACACATCAAAGGGGCTTCGTGTTATGGGTCTTGCCTATGTCCCTGATTTTTCTCAGGCTGCATTTGCTTGTATTGTTGCCCCAGATGGAGAGGTGACTGACTATTTACGGTTGCCTAGCATTTTGAAGAGGCGCAATGGTTACAGGGAAGATGATAAGCTTCAAAAGGTATTTTTATTGTAATATTTGAATCACTAGTCTTTAAAATTCAGTTAAGAGTTACATGTTTATTCTGCTGTACGTGTTTGTTTCTTTGCAGGAGGCCGATCTTACTGCATTGCGCTATTTTATTTCAACTAAGAAACCTCATGTTATTGCTGTGGGTGGAGAGAGCCGAGATGCATTAATGATTATTCAGGACCTGAAAAATGTTGTGAAGGATTTGGTGGAAGATGATCAGTTCCCTTCCATCAATGTTGAAATTGTTGACAATGACCTTGCCAAAATTTTTGCCAACTCTATTAAGGCAGAGGTAATGTTAATTAAATTAATCTGTATTAACATCTTAATATTTCTTTGTACAGAAGGTAAATTAAATTTATTCAGTTAAGTGACTTAAACTTTCTAAATTTCAGAATGAGTTCCGAGATTATCCTCTGCTTTTAAGACAATCTATATCTCTTGCACGCCGGTTACAAGATCCTTTGATAGAGTACTCTCAATTATGCACTAGTGATGAAGAAATTTTGTGTCTTCGGTTTCACCCCCTCCAGGTAAGAGAAACTCTTTGACTACTGTATTTTCATCTTAATTACCACAGTTTTATCCCTCTGCATGTGTTGAAATATATTAAACAAATTTTTACAAACTTTCTTTCTAGGACCAATTGGCTAAAGAAGACTTATTGGAAGCTTTGTACCTGGAGTTTGTGAATCGAACAAATGAAGTTGGAGTAGATATTAATGTTGCTGTTCAAACTGGTCAAACTGCCAACCTTGTTCAATTTATTTGTGGTCTTGGTCCTCGCAAAGGAACAGCTCTAATCAAGCTTCTAAAGCAGACAAATCAGCGTTTGGAAAACCGTACTCAATTAGTAACCTCATGTCACATGGGACCCAAGGTCTTTATTAATTGTGCTGGATTCATTCGTATTGACACGAATTCATTAGGAGACAGGTAACATACTTGGTTGATTTGGCTTTAGTTTGGAATTACAAGATGAGGACAAATTTTTAAAGCCTATTTGTTTTTTAGCACCGAAGCATATGTTGAGGTTCTTGATGGATCTCGTGTACATCCTGAAGCCTATGAATGGGCAAGAAAAATGGCAGTGGATGCCTTGGAGTATGATGATGAGGACGCCAACCCTGCTGGGGTGTTAGAGGAAATTTTGGAGTCTCCAGAGAGATTAAAAGATCTTGATCTGGACGCTTTTGCCGAAGAACTTGAGAGACAAGGGTTTGGCAATAAGAGCATAACTTTGTATGACATCAGAAATGAACTTAACCACAGGTACAAGGATATGCGTACTCCATTTGCTTCGCCTAATCCTGAAGAACTTTTTGATATTCTAACTAAGGAGAACCCTGAAATATTTTATCTTGGAAAAATGATATTAGCTACTGTAATTGGCATTCAACATCGGAAACCACAACATGAGCAATTGGATAATGCCAACCCCGTCAGGAATGATGAGACTGGCTTGTGGCAATGTCCTTTCTGTTTGAAAAATGATTTCCCAGAGCTCTCAGAAGTTTGGAATCATTTTGATGCTGAAACATGTCCGGGAAAAGCTACTGGTGTGAAGTTACGCCTTGATAATGGTATTCAAGGATACATTCACATTAAAAACTTGTCAGACAAGCATGTTAGTAATCCTGAAGAAAGAGTTAAAACGAACCAGATAATTCATTGTCGCATAACAAAGATAGATGTGAATAGATTTTCTGTTGAGTGTACCTCCAAATCTTCAGACCTCATGGATGCCAATCATGAATGGCGGTAAGATATCATTTTTGTGACAACAAAGACACAATGTTTTTTGTCTTGCATTTTTGGTTTTTCAAATATCTATATTCTCCTATCTAATTTACAGACCTAATCGAGACCCGTATTATGATACTGAGAGGGAGTCAAAAGACAAGAAAGTGGAAGAGGATGCTAAAAAAATGAAGCAACAACATGCCTACATCAAAAGAGTTATTGTTCATCCTTCTTTCCACAATATTTCATTTAAAGAAGCTGAGAAACTCATGGCTAGTCTTGATCAGGGTGAATGTATTGTCAGACCATCTAGTAAGGTAAGTGTCATTGTTTTTAGTTTTTCTTAATATACAAATTTCCTTCCAACTCAAATTAATTAACACCCTTCTTCCTTCAGGGAGCTGATCATTTGACCGTTACTTGGAAAGTAGCTGACAATATCTATCAGCACATTGATGTCAGAGAAGAAGGTAAAGAGAACTCTTTTTCACTTGGCCAATCTTTGTGGATTGGCAAAGATGAGTTTGAAGACCTTGATGAAATCATAGCTCGGCATGTGAATCCCATGGCTTCACATGCTCGTGATTTGATATCGTTCAAATACTACCGTGAAACTATGGGTGGGAAAAAGGATAAGGCGGAAGAAATACTGAAGGATGAAAGACGTAGAAATCCAAGCAAAATTCATTACATAATATCAGCATCTCAGGCAAGTTCTCACAATGAATTAATCAATATTATTTGAAAAACAGTATATCTAACTCTAGGTAAACTTATTTGCAACATTTCTTTATTACAGTCCCTCCCTGGAAAATTTATGCTTTCATATATATTAAATCGATGCAGACATGAATATGTGACTGTTACTCCTGATGGATTTAGATTTAGACAACAAATGTTTGATAATTTGAATGAACTTTTCAAGTGGTTCAAAGAACATTTTAGAGATCCTATTCCTGGAAGCACACCTAGCACTCCTCGTGCTGGAATTACCAGCAGAACACCTTTTCCAGCAACTCCAAATCTTAGCATGGCTAGTAAGTTTTATGTTAAATGATATAACAGACAATGACATTTTGGGTATTCAGTTTTGGTTAATGACATGTGGAAATCCTCTATTTCAGATATTGACCCTGCCATCCAGAGAGTTGCACAGAGTATGCCAACCCACATGCTTCACAGCCTTTCACAGGTGGCTAGTCAGACTCCACATTATTCTCACACCCCTGGTGTTTATGGAGCAAGCGGCGTTCATGGTTACCCTAACACTGTAAGCATCCTAATCAGTATCAATTAATTAATCAATCAATCAATCAATCAACATTTTTTGTGCTGTGACAATACTTAACTGTTGTTGTTTTCTTTTTACAGCCATATACACCTTCAGGACGCGGAGCTGGACTCGGCGGCCCGGGTGGAGTTCCGTATCTGGCAGCCTTCGAGAAACGCCCAATAATCAAATTAAATTATGTGAAATGAAATAAAATTATGCGTGAAAAAGATTAACACGCTTTCAACGCCTACCAGTATTCGTGATGTATTGTAGACGCCTGTCTGAGTTATAAGGAGAGACATTCATCAAGCGCGCTGCGTGTGGCTCAGTTCTCTCATGTAGCTCCTGCCCACAAAAGAAATGACCAAACGTGCACCACTGACACATTTGGTGCATATTTCTGTTTTATTTTTAATCATATTATAAGAAGAGGCTGCTAGAGCTACACTGATAAACCAAGTGTGCAACTGCTAAACACTTGTAGTGTGCAACTCCCAGTTCAACACTTACAAGTGCTGTGAATTTTTCACTTGTCCAAAGATATTCAGACTGATTATTTTTTGTTTTTTTCTACTATATTTAATGTGTTTGTCATTTATTTCACTTATTAGTGAGACTTGCTTTAGCAAAGCCAACAAAGCTATTACACGTGCCAAAGTGCTGTGAATTTTTCACATGTCCAAAGATATTTGGACTGATTATTTTTCTGAGACCAAATAAACAAAGTGATACTGAAAAGTAATGTTTTATTACATAAATCATCAATTCCACCACTTCCATTTTTTTAAAAAGCAGAATGACACTTAAACAGCCAAACAATATCCCTCATGGAGGAGTCCGAGTCAAACATCAGAAAGTTTTCAGTACAAGGCTAGAGCCAAACTCGCTTGGATATTTTGAATACACAATTTGAGTAGGTACAAAACCTCCTAACATTTAAACAACTATTTAAAGTTAGTAAAGAAATGAAGGCAGAGACAAACAGCAGAAGTTTCAGGACAAGACAAAGCCCGCTCACTTGAATATTTTAAATACGCAAACTGAGTGGGTATAAATGCAGTAATAAATAACAAATAAAAGCTACAGCAAGCTCACTGTGATATTTTGAACACACAAATTGAGTGGGTAAAATAGCTAGTAGCATTAATACATAACAAATAAAAGCTACAGCAAGCTCTTTGATATTTTGAATACACAAATTGAGTGGGTAAAATAGCTAGTAGCATTAATA